TTGCCCAATAAACTCATCGGATTCAAACATTTGTCGGAAATTTGTTTGACTAAAACCATACCTAGCGATTGCAGGCTTTGAACGAAGAAACACATCAGCATGCCTACACTCTCAACGAAAAAGTTTTTATTCCAAGATCTCATGGGCGAAGAATTAAAGGGTAAATCTGTAGAAGGCTCTTTTTGAAAACCAGCTCTCGTGAGGCGCCGCCCACTTTGCGAATCTCCGCCCACTGAGCTGTTTCAACCCAGTTCATAAAAATCTATAAAAAATCTATTTCAGTTCAAAGTGCAATTTCATCGGACGTATAATAGGCCCAGCCGGAATGAGTGTCAAACAATTGGAATCAGATACTGGCTGTCATATTTTGATTCGAGGAAGAGGAAGTGTAAAGGTCGTTATTACGGGTACAAACCACAACTGCCTAACCAGTATACTATACAATTTTCAGGATCCTCGAAAAGAACAACGGCTTCGCGGTCAGCCAGGATGGGATCACCTTGAAGAGCCTCTACACGTGCTTGTCACTGCAGTCGATCACAACCATATTGTGTTCGTTTGAATATTGTTAGAGCTACACTCTTTTTCGGTACGGACGCTAGGGCATTCCACGGAAAGGGGAGGAGGGGCCTCGGTTTAGCACGGCTTTCCAGCAAAGCCTTTCCAACAACTGTTGTCGCTTGCCCGCTTCAACTACGGGCGGAAATCTAGCTCGGTCCGCGCATAGCCAATCAGAGTGATGAAACCTGGGCACAATATTCTATCCCCTAGTACTGTTCAGTGAGAGAGTCAACAACAACAACAACAACAGAAGAAACCGTAGAAGAGGCCCTAAATGAGATAATCTATTGTATTTGATTTGGAGCGGTGTAGCGAAGAAACCACTATGGCGCGTGGGATTGAGAACTAACGACTGATAATTCACGGGCTGGAATGAAACTCAAACGACTAGGCCACGAAAGCAAAGAGCGCAGAGATGCGCGAGAGGCAGCACCATATGCAAATACCACTTGCGCGTATGGGCGTTCAGAAGTCAGTGCAGAGCATCAGGCGTGCCATAAGCGCCAAAAAGGACATCATGCTGATGAACACGCACGCAATGCCTGCGGACTAGGCCACCTTATACAGGAGAAAGCACATCTTCACGATAATCACGAGATGCCTCCAAAGACAGCGCGCTGTACCACCTAGTTGGCGCGCAGGTGCCCACCTCTTCCCACTAGACGGAGAAAACCATGGAGGAAAGCTGGGCGTGAAGGGTGAGGGCGTTTGTCAAGGGGGTGGTACGAGGATAAGCTGGAGAAGGGAAGGAGGGGTGGGGGGAGGTCGCAGCTCATACTGAGCAAAAATCATCCACAGCGTGAAGGCGCGCTCTGATCCGACAGCTGTACCAAGCATGAGGGACAGCCATAGACATCCGAGTGTGACAGTACCTTGACTACCCTACTTTTTCGTACAACTAACCAAATAATCACGGAAATGAAGCGAGGACGCTGTGGGCTTCAGGAGGGGCCATTCTTGCGATGTTCAGCCATCGACGATGGCTAAAAGAGCTTCCATAAGCAGCGATTCGATTGCTTGGGGAGACGTGCAAGAGAATCGTATCTGTCGCTCCACCGCTTGAGGGTGCATGCTCGCGGCGTTTCGTCCGCCGTTTTCCTTAACTCGAGTTGACCTGTCGATTGAAGCAGTTGGACTTTATGTAAGACCCGTCATCGTAGAATTGACTATTTTCGTGTTATTGGAATTGTCTGGCTGTCGCTCATCTCACTTGCCTGGGAACCGATCGTCATTGCCGGGCGCGACCGTCTGCACGCGACCGCCCTTCCAGCGCCCTACGATTCACACTTGTCATCGACGACCAGTCTGCGTTTGGACCACGCTACACGCACCGCGGGCGCTTCACTGCGTAAGCGTTTGACCGCCTGCAAACGGCTGCCCTTCGATTACATTCCAACGAAAGAGATTTTGTAACGTGTTTCTTGTGTCACTTGAACATGAAAAATTCACGGTAACGGAATACAAAGGAGATCAGCGCTAGAAGATGACTTCCCAATAGGATTTCATCTGAATCAGTCAGTTGCAAAAGAACGCAACGACGAAATACAACAGTTTACACTAATTCTATCATCAAATAAGCGCCAGTAGGAAAGTTACAGTTAATGGAGACCGTGCGGGTGAACGTGAAGGAAAAACGAAAAAAAATTGATTGGTGCATCACCAAATGCCGTTGCGGTGGCTCGCTCGTGGTCGTGGTTGCACCATCCGAACGATCGGATCACGAACAGGATACAGCATAGTGATCTACGAAATGACGATGTCAGTACGAGCGCCCCCTCCCCTAAAGTTCCCGGTTCCACACCGGTACGCCATCCTCCACCGCCTCCCTATGTTTTCCCGACTTCCCACCACTTTTCCCGACTTTCCAAAACATTTTTCAGTTTTTTCCCCGAAAAACTAGTGTCAGGCGGTAGGGGAGATCAACTACAGATTCAAGTACCGCAATAGTAAGTGTATGGTAGTACTGCGGCGCCGCAAAGAAGTGGGAGGGTAGGGGGGTACATAGTGAGCATGGACAGGAAAACCTCAGAAAAGTCAGCGGTCGGAATGGACTTTCTGGATGGAGAAAGCAGAGAAAAGTCAACAACCGGGAGGAATTAGTCGAAAATCTTCTCGCAAAGATCTTTCACAAAGGCAAATACGATCCCCCCCCCCGATGGGACTCTGCCGACAATATAGCGATCAGGAAGTATGAACGCGACTCAATCCATATAACAACTTGTCACGCTATCTCAGTGAGAGGTTGAAGACAAGCATACATAACATTGCTAACTCAGCTGGAGTGACTCCTCCCAAGGCACACAGCTCCAATTAAACAAAACTTCCTTACCTTACTGATAGCTAGAAAGTACTATCATCTGCAAAATT